GCAGGCTTAAAATTTGGGGAGTTACTGGATGATCTCTGCTCTCCCACCGCTTCTCATTTTCCACCTGTATGCTGGCAACTCCCTTTGCTGCTGAAAGTCCTTCCTTCAGTCCATGTGTTTGGGTAAGCACAGATCTTTACATTTCCTCGTATTCATCCTGAGAGGGTAAAATAGAGCTTTTCAAGCACATGGTGTGTAGCAGGAATTTTAAAGCTCATTGTCCAGATTGTCTGACAGATCTCGTGCCAGTGACCTTCCCTAGAGAGTAAGTCTTCCTCACCGTCAAACTCAGCACTGAGGTGTTAACCATCACCTATCAACGTGTTATAGAATCAGAGAATGATTTGAGTTGGAAGGCACCCCTGAAGGCCTCCAGTCCAAGTCCTCCACAATGAATACCTACAGCTTGATTAGGCTGCCCTGAGCCTGATTCAGCCTGATCTTGAGTGAACTTGAAGAAAAGCACACCATAGATGGACATACATCTGGACAGTGTTGTTGAAGTTACAATCTGTTTATGTCTAAAGAATAATATACCTATGTTACTGCTTATTTTGCTTGCTGTCTTCAGAATCTTTTTTTTTTTTTTTTCCTTAAACTTAGGTTACACATATTCTAAATGTAGCCTATGGAGTCCAAAATGCGTTCCTTAATGACTTCATATACAAGACCATATCTATATTGGACCTTCCAGAAACTGATATCACCTCCTATTTCCCAGAATGCTTTGAGTTTATTGAGAAAGCCAAAATCCAGGTACAGTATATCTATACAATATAACTATACAGTATGGTTATTTATTACCTCCTCTTAAATCTAAACAGCTGCCTCTGTCAAAAGCCGTGCATCCACATACAGTTATGTACCAAGACCATCAGAGAATGGGTTAGTAGCTTGAAGCCATCCAGTGATTTTAACTGCTGATAAAATCCTGAGAAGTCATCACACAGGGAGTAGGATGAGTGACCTGCGTTTGGGGGTTGGTTAGCTGCTTTACATGTAAAACCAAGAGGGATGACTCCTATTTGTTAAACTTGGCCTTACTGTTTAATTTATATCAGTGGTAGCTTTGACACTATGACCTGACAACCAGGCATTGTTATACATTATTTGACTATTTCTACCATATTCATTATTTACACAGTTTGAGATAAAAGAAGATAATCTTGCCCCAGTTGGCTTTGTGTCACACAATGTTCTTTCCTTCTCTCATGTATCATTTACAAGCTATGTGATACACATTATCACTTAGTGACCTGCTCGAGGTTTCTTGTTACTGTTTCCACTTCACTTCTAAATGAGACTTGCCATTCGTAACACCACAAAGTTGATTTCTACCTCTGGTATTTATGTTCCAGTTACTATTTTGTAAACTAGGGAGTTCTCCTGCTTATTCCCGCCCCCACCCTCCATCAGTGCTAGTGATTTCGTAATGAAGATCAGGTAGTTGAATAGGTGTTCTCTAAGATTAGTTCATGAAAAATATAAGTAATTAAAAACCACCTCACATTCTTCTCTGCATAATACCGTTGGCTATGTCAAGTCAATGTTAAAAGACCTTATGATGAGATGTATCATGAAGTGCTATTTTGTGTAAGTAATTACAAAGAGATGCTACAGTTTCATCTCCTAAGGGGGGGGGGCAAGGGATATTCACTGATGAGAAAGTTTAGATGTATAAGAAATTGTAACCAGGACGTGGTTAACTTAGGAGAATCACTTACATTGAAGAAGTGAGAAAAGTGTGCACTGTGCTATGAGTCCCTGGGAGTTATTGCTTGTAACAGGATTGAGTTTACTAACACTTGTTAACTGCTCGAGTCTGTAGACATTGTGGTACAAATGCTGATTCTGGTCACCGCCTCTTTCTCTAGGCTGCAAATTAGCAGACAGATTTTCCATGACATGCTAGGTAACCAGTGTCAATAATATTGCTTGTACCTAATGCAAAATTAGTGCTAAAGTCACCTCTGTTTAAACCAGCAATAGATTTTACCAAGGAAAAGTAAATGTGTTCAGTGTTATATTTGGTTTAATATTATTGGCATGTTTTCAAGTCTACTCTGTGGAGTAAGTGTGAGAAGGAAAATGAAAATGTTCCCAATGGACAGTGGGAAGGGGATGTGATTTCCATTGAAGAAGAAAAGAGATAGTATTGTGATCGGTGAGGACTGTAAACTCAATTTCATACTTCATCTTGTAATTTAGGTTGGAGTATTTTTGGAGCAGGAATCATTTTACGCTCTGTGTATATCAATACAGCAGATAATTGGAACTTCCAGGTCTGTGTAAGTCATAAGGTTCCTGCAGCCCAATTGTTCTTTTTTTTTTCTTCTTTTAAGTAAAAGGCCCATTTAATAATTTGTGCACAATAAGGACAGACAGAACAGACTACTTATGTCAAGAATATATTTGTGTAGCCTCAAATAACCAAGTGTGTTCTGTCACGTTTCAGTATCTTTATTTGACATCTGAAGTAGCCAATCTCAAAAGCACCACCACTATCACTTGGCAAGCAGTTTGGATTGAGCCTTTGCCAGGCCAGAATCTGGTATACAAAAGTGACACTATCACAACACCTGGTCATTGTAAAGCTGGCCTACACCACACTGAGTTGTCTAGATGTCTTTGTGCCTAGTATTTTGTAAATGAAACTTACAACATCTTTTTGAAGATTCATTCAGGTGTCTCAACGGTTGTGTAGAAAGTGTTCAAGCAGGCTGAAAAATACTGATTTTTATATGTAATTCAAGATAAGCTTGAGTTTAACCACTAGGAGAAAGATTTGTGAATTCCTGGGAAGTTGAGTACAGATGGATACTTAATCCTCAAGGCACCAACAATTGTACTAGTCATACAGTAGCGAAAAGGAGATTTATTGCAAGTCAGATACTTGGGGATCTCCAGAACAATCCTCTCACCTCCACTGCCAGCCCTTAAATGAGGTCGGGGAAGGGGTGGATCCTGGCTCCAGCCCTTCTGATCGCACAGTGTATTGCATGCACCTGAGCTCCCCCGGGTTGGCCCTGCCTTCCCACCAGATGCTCAGTCACTGCTTTAGGCCACGACTTAGCATTGCCACTACAGCTGCCTTTTTGTGTCTTTAACTTGGTAACAACATACAGTCAATTTCCTTCCACGTTTCAAATAAAGTAAATTTTAAAGTTAGCGCCCAAGTAGATCAAGAGTCTCAGTGTCCCAACTGTCCATGATCTGGTGTTTATGTGAGGAAGCTACTGCAAGGTCTTGGAGAAGAGGACAGAGAATGCTTTTTAGTTCTGAAACATTAGTGAGGTGTGAAGTATTGGCTAATCATCAAGTGGCCTAGGCTAGAAAACTACTTAGTTTGGGGCTCACGTATCTGTGTTTGGAGGTATTTATTTATGTATATATTTGCTTTGAGCTAAGCAAGGAACTTTTACTAAATATATTATAAATCGAGTTTTTTAGCTATAGTTTTTTGTTTTTATCTACTTCATGAATGTCCTCACTAATGTGTCGTTTGTTTCTCAAAGGATGGCGTGGTCCTGGTCCACTGTAATGCGGGAGTCTCCCGTGCAGCAGCAATAGTCATCGGTTTTCTGATGAATTCAGAAAGACTGAGTTTTGCTTCAGCCTTTTCCTTGGTAAAAAGTGTAAGGCCTTCTATTTGTCCCAATCCTGGTTTCATGGAACAGCTTCACAAGTACCAAGAACAGAATATAAAGGCAAATGGAAGCATAAATGATCACGACTGATCACGACTGGGAGAAGTGAAACAATCTGTTTTGACTATATAGTACCAGATGTTGGATGTACTTTAATCTCTTGTTTTGCAGATCTCTTACAGGTACACTTTAAAATCTTTCTCTATGTATTTTTTTTTCTGATGTTCACCTTTACACTCCCATTTTTCAGCATCTGGTGTAGAGGCCAAATGGTACTCGACTGACTTCACAGATGTTTTACCCAAGAGAAAGGTCTTCCCAGAGCAATGAAAAAAGATAAAGTTTTTCTTGCTGTAGCAAGGAAAGAGACAGAATGATTTTTTTTTTTTTTTTTTAAATGAATCACCAGAGAATGCAGGCAATGCAGAGAGGAAATAAAAAGGTAACTGGGATTATAAAGTTGCCCCACTTACTTTCATGCTAGACCAAATCTTTACATGTTCTAGCTGGTTGTAATACCTGGATAAGGTGTTAATATAAGGAAGTAGCTCGATATTGGGTCTTACATCTATGGAAAAACCATGGAGGATTTTATTGAATGTTATGGGCTAGCCAGCCATTAAATATGTATAAAAAATAAAGCAGATAGAGTCCACTGATGGAAGTAAGAAGGTGTAGGATGCTTTAATGCCTCACTTCTTTATCCTGTTTCCCATCAGGCAGCAAATGGAAGTGCACTAGCATGATGTTTTCAAAGTCCTAGGAAACAAGCTATCAGGGTTTTGCTGTTGATGGTTTTATAGATCATTTGGGAGCAGGTAGGTAGTCACAAACATTTTTCTTATCTCAAAACTCTTTTGCTTCAGTCCCCTCTACCAATGCCCCCTCGCTCCATTCCACGCAGTATGAAGAACACACATCATAGGATAGGTACTCGGTTTATTTTTTTTGTCACCCTGCTGACAGATCTCAGACGAGGTTGTGTTGTAAGATAGCATGTTTAGAAAAGAAAAATACAGAATCTGTGACAAAGACATTGTTGATAGCAGTATTTATGTGGCCTTTGTGCCTGTTCTAAGCGGTTGGATACATTAACTTTCAACACACCAAAATAAACGCTGTGTGTGTGAATAACTGTGGTTTTAAATGAAAAATATGTGAAATCTGGTTACTATTCCCTCGTCTTCATTTCCGAGGCGAACCGATCACTGCGTTTGCATTAGGACGCGTCCGTGGGACGCTACCCGCAGCCCCGCCCCGCAGCCGCCTCCATTAGCGCGGGGAGCGGAGTGGGCGGGCACAGCTCGCGCCACCCTGCGTCACAAGATGGCGGCGGCGGAAGTGACGGGGGAGGAAGTTCCGGTCTGTTTGAAAGCTCCCGGCGGAGCTGCTGCTGCCTCTTCCCGCCGCCCGCATGGCCGGCTTCGCCATGGATCCGCCTCCCGCAGGTGAAGCCGCGCCGCTTTTCGCGCCGCTGCGTCGCGCGCGCAGCGATCGGGCGCGTGCCGGGCCGTTGGGCGGCGCGGGGCACCTCAGCGCTTGGCGCCGCTCGGCGCCCTCAGACACCGACGCGGGCCGCGGCGAGCTCGGCGGCCATGCGGGCCGCAGTTGCGAAATCGGCTAGGCGGCGATGAGGCGGGCGAGGGAGAGAGCCCGGGCTCGGCGGGGTTTTTTGCAAGTAGAAAGTACCCTTAAGGAAACCGCTGTGGGAAGCGGCGTGGCGCTGCTCGTTCTTCCATTCTTTTTGTCGAACGGGCCGGAACATCTCCTCACTGCTTCTTCCTTTCGTTGTCCCAGGAGCGGAGCCCATGACGCTGGGTTCCCCCACGTCCCCTAAGCCGGGCGCCAGCGCTCAGTTCCTGCCCGGCTTCCTGATGGGCGACCTGCCCGCGCCCGTCACCCCGCAGCCGCGCGCCCTGAGCGGCCCTGCCGTGGGCACCATGGATGTGAGGTCTCCTCTGCTCGCAGGTCAGTGCTCTTCAGGTGCCGGAGAGTTGTCCTGAGCGTCGCGCCTGGGTTCGTCCTGCTGCTTAGCTTGGGTTCTGTGCTAAGCAGCTGTGTTATAACAGCGCAGCTGTGTTATAACAGCACATCTGTGTTCAGTGGGGTTGGCTGGAGCTCTTCACCGTAGGTTTATGATTAATGAATGATTTGTACTTTTCCCTTAAGTAGAAGCCTTGTAGGAAACTATAAATCGTCAAATAATTGCGTTTTATTGCGCTGAATTGTTACTGCCACAAGAATATCAGCTATAGAAAAAGAGGAATGAGTAACGTAGTAACCAAAGTGCGTGGTTAGGGGAATGTCATTGGAGCTTAGGCTGTGAACTTTTAAAGAAGAGCTTTAAGTAATGTGTTCTGACAGTTTGTGAATGTGTTACTCTGTTGAGAGAGGAGTACTGAAACTCCACTGAGCATTGCGAGGGACTTCTGAAAGGCTTAGCTGCTGTGTGTTTTGTAAGTGAGAACTATTAGGTCAAACTGCTTTCTTTGGGATATACACAATAAAGTGGTTCAAAGGTTTATCACCATTTTTTTAGTCAGCGTAATTGTCTGTTACATTGGAATTCTCACAGTTCAATATAAGTATATGGGAATAATAATAAAGGAGATTAGGTAACTTCATCTTGTCCAAATTCATGCTAGTTCATGCTTTCAAGAGCTTATCTTTCTATTTAATGTAAAATTTCTTGGGAAGGAAAGAAGTTTGTTCAATGGGAATGTGATGGCATGGGCAATGTCTGTGCACGTTTTGATGTGGCTCTTTAGTACGTAATGTGCCTTCAAAGTCTTAAATGCTTTGCTTTTTTTTGTCTCTTTTAGAGAAGATTGTCTGGAACAGTTGAATTACATTAATAATCTGCTTTAGAATGGGAAAATGTTGATATGGTCAAAACTGCTTAAAAAGAATAAGTGCGCGTAGGACGTGTTTGGCATCCAGAGATCTCAAAGTTTTAGGTGGTAGTTCTGTAAGGAGACACTTTCTGAAAAATACATGATATTCTTGCCTAAGAATAGCTTACAAGCTATTTCTTAACAGTTCAAAGCTGAGCAGTTTGGTCAGCTGTTTTGTAAGCTAATGAAATGACTAAGTATTTCATAGCTAAATGCGTTGTTAACTCTAACTGAAGAACAACTCGCAGAGGCTAAAGTTAAAAGCTTCCTTTCATTCTGTTTTAACTTCAGGTGGCTCTCCCCCACAGCCTGTAGTCCCTACACATAAAGATAAAAGTGGTGCTCCACCAGTTAGAAGCATATATGATGAACTGTCTAGTCCTGGACTTGGATCTTCACCACTAACTTCAAGAAGAGCTGTAAGTGGTTTATGTACTGTCTTTTTTTCTTAGCAGGCAAGGTCGGGTATCTTAGAACTTCAGTGAGCACTTTACAACAGTTATTGCAACTGAGTTAGCAAAGTGACTGGTGAGTCTTCTGATCATGCAGATATGCACTCCAATCTTCTTGTGGGCCTGTTCCTGTGTCCTCTGAGAGCTTTGCTCATGGAACTACCTGTGATTTTTAAGGTATTTTTAAGAATGAGAAAATATGAACCGTGCCTCTGCTGTGCTTTGTATGTGGTAAACTCGGATTTGTTACAGCTTTTCATGTTCTTGTCAGTTTACGATGTTACTGTGTGGTCCAAATATGCTTTCCTTTTAGTAGCTGTAGTGGAAACACTAATCACAGCCTGAAGCAGTGATTGAGCACCTGATGAGAAAGCAGGGCCATCCTAGGGGAGCTCAGGTGTAAGCAATGCACTGAGTGACTGGAAAGGGCTGGAGCCAGGATCCACTCCTTCCCAGACCTCATTTAGGGGTTGGCAGTGGAGGCGAGGGTAACTTTTACCAGAGATCCCTGCCTACCTGAGGCTTCCCAAAGGTAAGCAGCTCTTTTCCTTCCTTTCTATACCCATGGCTGTTGCCTTTGGGCTCATTCTCATTTGTTGTAGCCAAAGACTTTGCAGCCCTGCTATTATCATCCCATTAGAGCAATACAGTAGGTAACAGCAACAATATTATCAAAACCCGAGGACATTTATACTGAGTAAAAGATCTGATCCAAACTTGGGCAGTGAGATGGAGTTAATCTTGAAAGAGCAACAGAAAAACATTTCTAGAAGGTTATGCTGACAGGAAACTCCCCTGCTTACTGCAACTGAGCAGTCAAGTGTTAGTGGATATTTTTGTCAATGAACATCTATTGATGTAAAGAGAAGGCATTTTTCTGAATGAACAGATTTTATTACATGTTGTCTTCTGAGAGGCTTATTCTGAAAGTTTTCCAAGGAGGAGATCCCCTACTGCTTAAAAATAATAATAATAATGGTAATGAACAGCTAACAGTTGGAATGCAGTTGGAATGCAGGTTGCTAGGCAGACAGGTGCTCACGTTTGTTTGATCTTTTGAAGAAATGCCATCACTAGGGATAAAAACACTCAAATTGTTTCAAGAATTGAAAACTTTATATGAAGAAAATAACTACTTGAACAAATAGAACTTGACATTTGATTTCCTTCATTAAATATTGAAGTTACACTGATTAGTTTAGAGGGAAAGAAAGTAATGATGAGTACAAGTAGGGGCTATGCTCCATGATTTATGCATTTTCTAGAAGATGAAAATCAGATGCTGGAAATCTCTCATGCTGACATCCCTTCCGTTAAGATGCGTGTAGTGCGAATTGCTGGCTTACAGAAAGTCTTAGTAATCAGTTGGAAAAGCTAAAATGTAGTAGTTGAGATCTGCTGGGCGCTAGAATGTGTGAAATAAAATTATGTTCATGTCTGATATTGATCTAAAAGGTTAGAAGTAACTGACGGCAGGCAATGTTACTGCCTGATGGTTAAGTTTGCCTGGAAAAGGTCTGTTCTGATCTGAGGAGTGTACCTAAAAGTATTTTTTACTTTCTGTATTTTGATGCAGGGCAGCTTTTCTTTAACCCAGAGCCCATTGGTTGGAAACATGCCATCAACTCCTGGAGCAGGTAGATGTCCCATCAAAATTCTGAATGTATTTTCTTACTACTTTTCTTAATAGACAATGTTCAAACTACATCAACTCCTTGCAAATTTGCAAAGGAGCTGCACCTGTTCTTTTAACTAGCTTTTCAAAAAGTACGTGGATGTGAATAGAAAATACCTCTTGACTCGTACTGATAGAATTTCAATCAACTTCGCTTGTTCCTCACTCAGCATCTCTTGCTCGAGAAGTGTCTGTATTTGAGCAAAGCTGCTGAGGTTGAAGGGTGGTTGTCCGTGTTGATAAGGCTTGCGATTTTCTGTATGAACACGTGGCTTCTTGCTAAGCTTAATTCTGAGTGTTTGGCTTGCCTTTGATGTCTGCTGTGTGGGGCTAAGGGAGGAAACCTGCTAACTAGTTGGAGAACTGACGAAATCTGGACAGACTGTTTTTTTGCAAATAAACCTCCTCTGCATTCTTCTGTGTACAAGTGAAATACTTAATACTGAATTTATTTTTCTCTGACTTGTCTTGCAAATGAATATGTTAAATGGTTAAATCATTTTAACTTAACAGCTTCAAGTATGTTCAGTCCTGCAAGTATTGGGCAGCCTAGAAAGACTACTCTGTCTCCAGCTCAACTCGATCCTTTCTATACTCAGGGTGATTCCCTAACTTCAGAAGATCAACTTGACGACACGTGGGTAACTGTATTTGGGTAAGTGAATTTCTGAAATAGTTGAGAAACTGTGGGCAAGGTCTTAGCAATGTATGGAAACAAGTAGAGCTTGGGCACTGCTATTATTGGATGTTCCTAGGTCCTTCAGAAAGCACAACTGTGGTTAAAGGCAGCAGGTACACGTACCTGCTGTTTTAATGAAGAAGCTTAACTCTATGTTATTAAGTTAGAAAGGCACCATTCTACCATTCCATTTATGGCAGGTTAAAAATATGTACAAGTTATTCCTTTTAAAATGTTATTGAAGTAGAAAATCTTACACAACTCATCATTTTTTGGGGGAATTTTTCTTCTCTTTCAGATTTCCCCAAGCATCTGCTTCCTATATCCTTCTACAGTTTGCTCAGTATGGAAACATATTAAAGCATGTGGTATGTCTTAGTCTGAAGCTTATTTCTGAAAACATTCTGGCTCATTCTTTAAAAAGGCTAAGTTAACAGTTGTTATTTAATCACATACAGATGTCCAACACAGGAAATTGGATGCATATTCGATATCAGTCTAAGCTTCAAGCCCGAAAAGCCCTAAGCAAAGATGGAAGAATTTTTGGTGAATCCATCATGATTGGTGTCAAACCTTGTATAGATAAAGTAAGTTAACAGCTGCTCTCTTTTAAATATAAGCACTCTGCCTTTGGGATTCCTCTTCATTTCCCCTACTCACTTTTTCTATTTGAATAATAGAGCATATCTAGTTAAGTTAGATAAAATGTATTGTATTATATGTGAATTTTTCTTAGTTATTTGATGAAATGCTGCTGAAGAGTATCACTAGGGATGCACTCTCTGAGGTATGGAAGCTGTAATGCGTAGAGTTACGTTGTTGTACATCATGTGAATTAAGATGATAACATCAGAGAACTGAGATGTTTCCCAAAATGAAATTTGGTATTATTTATGTTGCTCTCATTTGTTTCTTGAATCTCTTGCCTCCTTTTTATGTGACTGCTTACCTGACTGACTCTTAAGTTTATTGTAGCAACTTAGGCTTATAAATTTGTTGGCAGCACAGTCCCGATTCTGTTCTTCAACTTGTACCATGGGAACACACATCCTGTTCTTGTAAGACTTAGGCATGGTTGTATTTGAGACTGATTTTTTTAATGAACACTTATTTTACTGTATTAACTAGGCATTTCCAGTGCTCTTAGCACTGATTCCTGCAGCACTTTGTATTGAGTACAGTACACAGGCAATTGAGTCATTCTTCTGTAGTTCACAGATTTTTTTTTTTTTTTTAAGTCTCTTCTTATCCTAAGTGACAGTAAGGAGTAATACCAGCTTTAAAATGTAAACCCATCTCGAGTAATGCTCTAAAAATGGAGCTTGAAGTTACTTGGTGTTTTATCAGTTTGAAACGTTTCTTATGCAGATTCAAATTGAGAAACAAAACAACTTCAGTGCTCCTTTCCTTCATGGGCTTCTGGTCTCTTTTCTTACCTTGCCTACTATCTTGCTGTTCAGTGTCATTGACCGAGTTGCCTGTAACCCTGTACGTAATCATGTAAGACAAGGAATTCGCAGGCATCCCGTCTCTCAGTTGCTTTTGAATTCTTACTGTGTCTTTGGGTAGTGTTCACTTTAAAATATGAATAAATACATCCATAATCATCTGTGTTTTGGGGGCGAGAGATTGTGGGGATGAAGACGTCAAGCTACTTCTGTAGCTTCCCAGCACTGAAAAAAGTTGCTTCTCCAGGCTTGCTGCAAGTTTTGCCATTTTTTGTCTTCTCCATACTGTTTCGAACTTGTCTATTGATTGTGTACTGATCATCAGACTATGAGCTTCCACTGGTTCTCAGTGGCATAATGCACCTTTTGCACCCTGTATTAAGTAGGCACTTGAGTGTAATCATTGCTTTCTATGGGATACGACTATGTTTATGAATTGGAGATAAACTTAAAGATTGAAATAGTGTTTTTTAGTATTGGCTTACTTTACTTCAATCCTCTTTTTAAGAGTGTGATGGACAACTTTGAAAGAAGCTCTGCATCCTCAATGTCTTCAGTTTTCACTCCACCTTCAAAAACTGTAAGCACACCAGTACAACCTGCAAGTACTACAAAGATTTCTACTATGAGACCTCTTGCAACAGCATACAAAGCTTCCACTAGTGACTACCAGGTATTTTAAGGGAAACAAGCGTGTGTTTTTGTGTAATCTTCTGTTAAGAGTGTGAGGCTGGGCACACGTGAACTTTAATGTGACCTTAGCCTTTTTTCTCATGTTATCACTGGTAAAGATGTGGTTTATGTGCATAGGCTTACAAAATCATTTAATGGATTTATTTACTTTTCAGAGGTTGAGGGCTTGTTCTGAAATTTCAAGATACTTTGTCAAAATAAAGTAATGTATAGGAGAAGTGTGGTTTTTTAACATTAACCCTTGTGTGAACTAATTATTTTTTTCTTCTTTCTTTTTTTCCCCTGTTTTCTAGGTGGTTTCAGACAGACAAACGCCTAAGAAGGATGAAAGCATTGTATCTAAAGCAATGGAATATGTGTTTGGCTGGTAATTGGCAACAAGAAGTAACACACTAAGTTGGTCAGGGTTGGAAATCTGCTGCTGGCGTCAGTGGTTAGTTGTATAACTACTAGTGTCAGTATTTTAATTTATATCACCTGCAGTGATGCCTTCATGCCTTCAGTGATTTCAGCAGACATGTAGCTTGCACTTTAAATGATTGCAATATACACATGGTTTTAAAAACTGCATCAGTGTAAATAAGTGTTTTTTTTTCCTGTTTGTGCTCTGATTGCATGATTGTAGAAAAAAATACGAGCACTGACTTGGCTTCTATGATGACTTCATGTGAATTGCTTCCCAGTAAAGATGATGGGCTTCTCGCAGGAAGAACACTATGTATAGCAGGCTCGTAGGGACTGTTCTTAATATATGATTTTAATTTTCTCATTTGGATTCATTGCTGTTCTAAAACTATCTTTGGCATCCTGTTCTAAACGTCACAGTGACTTTTTAACGGTTTTATTAATAAAGCTAAGTAAAGTTTTTCTAGGTTGTTTTTTACGCAAGTATGAGTTCTGCTAGGAAATACTGTTTGTGTCACTCTTGAAGAAGTAGATGCTGCCTGATCTTTTTAGAAGTCTTTGCAGAGCAGATGCTGCTGACTATTGCTGAAGTACCAACCTCTGTTAAGACTAATTACGGTGCAAGTTTTGTTATGAGTAAGAATATACGGTTTAAATATTGGTATGTAATTTACCTTCATGGGTGTTTTACAGCAATGCACTCGATAACAATTATCAGTTTGTAGCCTTCTACACTGCAGAACATGGAGCTAAAGTAGCTGAATAGAAAAATGCAGCATTGGTGACCAGAGCTACTTTTGTTTTGGGATGCTTCGATGAATTCCTCCTAAGGCACTGGTTTAATGAAATTATTTGTATTTGACACTTAGCCCATTTTGAAGTTGTTTTTATGGAATCATAGAGTGGCTTGTGTTGGAAGGGACCTTAATGATCATTCAGTTCCAGCTCCCCTGCTGTGGGCAGGGTTGCCACCTGCTAGGTCAGGCTGCCCTGGGTCCCATCCAACCTGGCCTTGAACACAGTGAACACATCCAGTGATGGGGCATCTACAACTTCTCTTGGCAGCCTATGTCAGTGTTTCACCACTCTGAAAGAAAAAATTCTTCTTAACATCTAATCTAAATCAACCCTCTTTTAGTTTCAAGCTGTTCCTTCTTGTCCTATCCCTATCTACCTGTGTGAAAAGTGTGTCTTCCTCCTGTTTATAATCTAATATTGTAAGGCCACAATGAGGTCTCCCTGGAACCTACTCCAGACTGAACAAGGCCAGCTCTTCAGCTGTTTTTCATGAGAGAAGTGCTGTAGCCCGCTGCTGAACTCGGTGGCTCTTCTCTGGACTTGCTCCAACAGCTCCACGTCTTGTAATTGGGGACCCTGGTCCTGGATGTAGTACTGCAGATAGGACCTCATGAGAGCAGAGGATCACCTCCCTTGACCTGCTGGCTGCCCCTCTTTTGATGTCACCCAGGATGCAGTTACCTTCCAGGCTGCAAGTGCACACAACTAACTCATGTCTAGCTTTTTATCCACTGGGATCCTCAAGTCTTCAGCAGGGCTGCCTTAAGGAGTTCTCTCAATCTGTATACATACCTGGGATTGCCCTGACTTAGGTGTACAGTACCTTGTGCTTGGCCTTGTTGCATCTCCTTAGTTCTGTTGGCCTGCTTCGCAAGCTTGTTCAGGCTGCTTTGGACAGTGTTACTTTCTTCTGTTGTATCAACTGCATCACTGAGCTTAATGTCTGCAAACTCGCTAAGGATACACTTATCCCACTGTCTCAGTCATTGGTTAAATGCTAAGGAGCACCAGTTGCAAGACATACCTGGGTGGCACTGCTTTTCACCAGCCTCCAACTGGGTTTAGATCTGTTGACAATAACTCTGACAGCATCCAACCAGTTCTTTATCCAAGAAACAGTTCAGCCTTCAAACCTGTATCTCCAATTTAAAGATAAGAATGTGATGAGGAACCATGTCTGGATAGTTGACATCAAGTCTGGATAGATGACATCAGTTGCCCTTCTTTTGTCCACGGATGCCGTTACTCCCTCTTTGAAGGCCACGAGGTTGGTTGTAGATGTGCTCGTGGTAGAGCCATTCTGGCTGTCTCATATCACCTGTTTGCCTTGCATGTGCCTCAACACCATTTCCAGGAGGACCTGTTCAATGAACAGAGTTCAGCTCTCGGGTAACCGTTGATCCAGTGAGCACACAGTCTTTGAGATGGCTTGTCCCTCTTCCACTTGGAAAGAGAGTATTTTGAATTTCTGTGATTTTTAGAATGTTTTATTATTTTAATACTTTTTTTTTATATAAATTCTGTGGTTGTTCTAGGGGTAGGTCTTGCAGTTTGTGCTGGCAGTGAACTCAAAGTGAGGTTCCAGTCGCACCTGATTGTCGTGTTGCATCACACTGTGATATATCAGTGTTCATCCGCTGCTCTTTTGGGATGAAATTGTTTCGTAAGATGAGTCCCAAAGCATGCTGATGTACCTCAGATGCTAAGAGGCATGTAGTTTACAGGGTTAAGCTAGAGATAGTCGTGAGTAAAATCCATAAACCAGGAGCACTATTAGCACTTCATGCAGTTGGGCTTTATGCCTTACATGAGCTGACTTGATGTACTTTGCCTGTGCTCCTTATGGCTGGGAGTGGTTGTGAAAGGAGAGAAAAAATAGCTGGAAGCTTGTAATGCAAAAGCACCAGTGCTTCTGCATAAGGTTTATGAATCCTGAAGAAAATATACAGAGGCAAGTTGGCATTGATTAGTTTAATAGAAAGTGTTTTGGGGGTAGCTGGCCAGTTCTCACTCTGCCAAGTTCTCAGTCCCAGTGGTGGCTGGCTGTGGTAGTGTGTCTGCCCTGAGATGAACCAAGCAGATACTGGTAGTGGCAGATGGGCAAGATGTCTGCTAACCCCCCTTAGTATCATGGCCATAAGTAACATCTAGAGACAATAAGGCATTGCATTTCAGCGTTGTCAAGGTCATTAACAGAAAGCAAGGATTCTTAGTTACAGCTACAGAGGTTTCTCACAAACAAGTTTCTTCCAGGTGCGTACAAAACACAGAGGCCATTTACTTGCTTTCCCAAGCTAACACCTGTTGGGGTAATGATCTGCATTTTTGCACACACATGCTGAATGGCCGTGTATAGTGGAAATAAATACTAAGTCACAGCTTGAAACAGTGATTGAGCACCTGGTGGGAAGGCAGGGCCCAGCCAGGGGAACTCAGGTGCAGGCAATGTACTGAGTGACCGGAATGGCTGGAGCCAGGATCCACCCCTTCCCAGACCTCATTTAAGAGTTGGCAGTGGAGCAGGAGGTTCTTCTTGGAGATCCCTGCTTTCCAAAGGTAAGTAGATTCTTCCTTTTGTTTCTGTGCCCACAGCTGTTGCATTTGAGCAAGTTCTTTCTTGCTATGGCTGAGGACTTCACTGTGGTGCTATTATTGCTGAGCTTTCCGTTGTGTTAGACCATGTTCATCTGATGTGGTGATAGCCTTGTGAAAACTACTTTATCATAGAAAGAACTAATGCAATTTCTCCTTCAGTCTTTCTGCAGTGAGGAGAACCTGAATCAGATTTGTATCAGGTTAAAAGAATGGTGATGTGCTGAAGCAGAGAATAGGATGGATGTCTGTGATTAGTGTGTGTAATTTTGCTCTAGAAGTAATAAACAGAAGGAGAAAACTGATATTTATGTAGAAACGGATAACAACTATGTCCTTGTGGACAGTAGCGTTACTAACTTCTCTTCATATGGCTTTTGTATGGTAGAAGCCTCCACTTCATATGTTGGCTTAGTGTAATGCAGTAGGTAAACCCTTATATCTCTGATTTGGGCTTTATATGAGGACGTAGCAGTGCCACACTGCAGAAACCACCACACGGTTTTGTTGCAGTGTGTTCTTGAGAGGTCTACATTATTTACATGAATGTACGGAGGCCATGTGTGATGAAAGGGCAGGTGATACAAAAGTACATGTGTGAAGATTCTGAAACACGTGGGCTATCTTCAAGAAAACTTGTTCAGGGTTGTCTGCTGTTGGTTGGTAGCATTGCTTTTAAAAATGCAGTTCTTCCTGTTTCCCTATCTGTCTGCTGCCTGGTGAAGGTTCTCTTCTAGCTGTAGCTAAATGTGATTTACAGTAAAGCCAAAGCTAAGGACTTCAACTACTCACATGTAACATTCACCAAGTTCAGTTCTGGTTTCAATTGTCTTCAGTCTCACAAGCCCCGTATTTGTGTCATTAGGATTGTGGCTTTAGTTTAAAACAAAATTGAAATAAGCACTTGCTTTCTGTTCTGTCTCAATTGCAAGGAATTGCAAGTTACTTGTGAATCTAATCCACTTCTTGTTATCTAAATAGAATAAATACAACAAATCTAAGGATTTGTTAATTGTTTCTGTGGTCGTGTCCTTATTAACTACTTATGGTTTGGTTTCGTAACAAATAGTCTATTCATCCCCTTTTCATATCACCCCTCTTCAATTTAGATGTCTTGTGATTTTCAAATTGACAGATGTTTATTTGGGTAATAAGTCTGTGATGATGTAGAATGAAGATAAAATGTTGGAGTCGGTCATGGCTGCCTCTTTAATTTAAACTCTTTCAAACTATAGGTGTCTACCTCCATCTTGTGGCAGCTCGTCAGAACTTCAATAGCAGGTGTAAGTGAATGAGCTATGGTTTTGTAATAGCACATGGGCTAGGCAGTGATTTCATAGTAGAAGAAAGGATTTGCTTCTAAGTTTACTATATACACAATCTACTATGTTTAGGGGTAATTCAGACTTATATGCTTCAAAATAATGATTCTTTAATATCTTAATGGTATTTACTCATCTTGTTATTTGGAGACAGATAAAATGAGGAAATTGTACTTTTGCAGAAAATAACAAAATCCTTCTTGTGATTTTTTTAATTTTATTTTTTTTTTTTTGGTACTAGGTATGTCTATGAAAATAAAAACTTGCATCATTTATGATCTGATAGGGACAACTGGACCAGAGATGGAGCTGCAGAAATGCGCTGCTTAAATGCATTTTTAAAGAACTAAACTGTTCAATTGTTAAGTAAGTGAAAACTAACTAATTTGGGTTGCAGGTAGTTTAGAGTCAGGATTGGGTTTACTAAATTTCAAACTGCGTGCAAGAAGGCATTGGGGTAAGTGTTATAATGTTTTGTGATAACATCAGTCCTGGGGCAACTTCGTGGTGATGCTGCTATGCTGCTTTTTTAATTGTTTGGATGAGTGTAAGAAGTGTTCTTCTAATGAAGTACGAGTCACAGTGAGTATTAAGGTGTAAGCAGTACTGACTGCTAAGTACCTCTTAATGTTCATAAATGAGGGTTCAGCCTCCTAAGAGGAATAAAAAACAGCTGTACATTAAGTAACGAGCTGGAAACTGTCAACAGCTTGATGGAAAGTTGGTGAATTTACCTTTCCAAGTGATTGC